GTCGAGTGCCTCGACATCATGAAACATCATCTCCTACTGGCTCACCCACAAACGACAAGGTCAATAAACGCACATGTGAACAAAAGTGCAGGCATCAAAGTAGTTCCAAAATATACAGGCTGTCCTCCCCACTCATAATTCATCGGCGAAAGTCTGATCATCATCTGCGACCTCCCCCGCCTCACCTGAGGCCTTTGATCACGTCCACACATGCCGCCCTCCTAGTCGTACATTGCTCGTCCGTCCCCTCCTCTCCACTCCGATAAGAATACACGCGCCCATTGAGCACGGCGCCGTTGTGGCCCTCCCTTTTCGATTCAAGACACCAACGCCGATATGCAGTTCCTGCGGCCTCCATTGGCCTGACAAAATGCATCGGCAAGGCAGCCTGGACATCCCTAGATGATGCAAGATCCCACCCACATGCTTTTTCTCTTTACCACTCGTCATATTATTACACCGTTGCTTCGCAATAAAAGTAGAAAATAACGTGAAAGACTATAAATGTCCGTGTGTGGTCCGCAAAATGATTCCGCGGGTGCCGTGGCGTGGCCAACAAGCGACGCCACTAGAGACTCCAGGGTTCCGATTTAGCGCTGACGCTTCATCACCGGACCGCCTTCATAGTCCCAGGCGCGCTTGAGACCGCCTTCGTATACGCTGGCCACTGATTCTTGCCACATGGCTGGCGTGACAAACGTTTGGACAGGAGCCGCCGAGTATTGCTGGGCCGGCATTTGCTGTGCGGCGACAGGCATGCTGGCCGTGGCAGCTTGGATATCCTGGATGGATGGGGCTTCGGGTTGACCTGAAGACGGGGAAACGTTAAGCGCGTTGGTCTGGGTGGGGACGCTGGTCGACTGTGCCTGGACTTGAGGCGTACCAAATGACGTATTCCATTGTCTTTGTCAAAGAGTCAGTGTTTTGTACGACAGGGCGAAGCGTGATGAGAGGGCACATACTCGAAAATTCTCTGCGGATTCCAGGCCGGCGCTTCCGCAAGGGGCATCGTCGGTGGCATCCCAGGCGCTTGGGAGCCTTGGCTCGACATCATTACGAGTGACTGTACACCAGGCGAGTCACTCCTCGTGTCCAGAGGTCCGGCGGATATGGGTGGCGTCATGGGGTGGCTATAACTAACTTGGGAGTGCTGTTGGTGCATGTTTTGCGTATCAAGTCGCGGTTCAAGCGAACCCGCCTGAGACAGCGGTGATGGCCGGTATCCCGTGTTGATGTGAGGCGACGGCGACTGGTTCGAAGAGTGTGGGCTGCCATATGGGAAGCTCGGCTTCAGTACGAATGGTTTCCTGGTGTCAGCAGAGAATGCTTCTCGAACGGCGTCGACCGGCTTTTGGAGATCCGCCATGGGCCAAACCGACATGACCCTCTCGAGAACTCGCATGTGACGCGCAAAGTAGTCCCGCGCGTCAACGTTCAGATCCGGGTCCGGAGACGTGATTGCCACCTAGTGTGCCAGCGTTAGCTCGTCATCCCGGGATAGTTTCGGTGTCGTACACCCACCAGGTGGAGAACAATGCACGTCAAGCCGCAGTAGATGGTGAAGCTGAACCCGCGCTGCATGCACTGCAGGCCTGTGAAGCCAAAGCTGTTGACGACTGCCTCCTGCAGGCGGCAGAGCGCCTTGGCAGAATTGTAGCAAATCATCATGTGGTGCTTCCACTGGCCGTCTGCGCCATTGGGGTCCAAAAACGCCAGCTGCGGCCGGTGCAGCAGGATTTGCGCCAGGTAGTAGTACGAGTGTAGGTTGCCGATAAACGGCGACGAGAGCCACGGCGCAGATCCATCGGGTGGAAACGTCACCGACAGGTCGCCTGGGAGGTCGTTTAACCACGAGTTTAGAGAAGGGTTGAGCTGTACAAAATCTGGGTCGACTCCCCAATCTTTCTTTGTTTTTCGCAGGCGGCCATAAACTGTATTCATTCGACTGATGTTCTTGACGATCCGGGCGAGATACGTAAAGTTGCGAGAGATATTGTATTCGAGTTCATCAGCCCCGGGTATAGGACGAGGTATACTGAAGTCAATCGTGTCAAGTTCGACCGCCAGATCGGTCCTCCCTGTAGCAAGTGTCAGAACAAGTTGGTCAGTTTAGGATGCAGCACGAGCGTTGACAGACCTTGCGGAGATCCAACCATGACTTCACACGCGAAAATGGTCTGCCAAATCCGGCTCTTCAGCTGGCATTCCATCGGGCTTGAATCGCAAGGTCGGCCGGTCTGATGGTCGGAATAGTGCTCGTCGAGGCCAAGATCCTTTGCCATCTGAACGCACTGCACGACCGTCATCCAGGATCGGTAGTAGTAACCTCGCTTCGGCGCGGCTTCCCTTGCTTTTAGTATAATCAACAGCGCCTGTAGCGTGCTCAGTCGTGGAATATCCATGAATGCGTCGGCGTGATCTATAGCATGTCAGTCCCCTGCATTGAAGGATTTACAATGGAAACCACGCACTGCTGGCCAAAGCCAGCCACTGTTGACCTTGGGCCGGCTCATCTGCTAGTCGTCCGCCGATTGCAAAGATGGCCTCAAGGATGAGTGGCGAGATGGCGTCCCTGTTGGAGTTCCATTGCTGGTAAAATATTGTCTTGCTCAACACAGGAACATAAGGGTGAACGTGGCCAAAGTACAGATCGAGGTAGTGCTCTGCCGTGTCGTCGTCGGGCATGAGTTCTGGTGGGATGCGAATTTTAAGGCCCGGTGCAGGCAAAAAAAGCAGGTAGGTGGCTCTTGTAGTCGTCGGCCTCCTCGACAGCAGGTTCTTCTTCCTGTCTGAACGTTGCCCTGTTCCTAAGATACGGTGCTGATCTATACGTTAGCCGCGTACAAGTGCCGCTGCGGATGCCGCGTGCTGACCTGATCCTGCCTCGTCCATCTTCAACGATCCTAGCAAATCTGACAGGTCTTGCTGCTGGTACTCATCTTGAGAGTACGCGCCGGGAGAGGAGGAGTGCGGTTTGGAGCCCTGGTGGTGAGGAGGGCTGGGAAAGTGGTGCTGCGCTGCATATTGCTGTTGATCCATCACAGGAACGGATGGTGGCATAGTCGTGTAATGCACATTCTGCGGAGCCGCAGAAGAGTCCGCGTAAGGCACGTGTTGGTAGACGTTGGGGTTGTCTGGATAGGCCGCATGCGTGGGCATACATTGCCGGTCCAGGCTTGGGCGCATTCGCAATCATTGAGGTCTGCTGCTGTTGCATGGGCATCTGGCGGAAGCTGTCTTGCAGCTGACCCGCGTCGGCGTAGTCGGTGGCAGTTGGGGACGAATCATAGGCTCCCGAGTCAGAGGTTCCGTCATACTGTCCGTTTGGTCGCACGCAGTGGAAGTCGCAGCCTGATGCAGGCCGAGCAGGGCCATGTGTTTGTGGTAGCAGCATCGCATTTTGATCTTCCTTCTCCGGCAGCCCTCACAAGCTCTCATCACTGACATGGCTAGTTAGTAAAACATGAACAGTAAGTTGGGAAACCCAACACCGGCAGTCTCATCAGTTGCATACCTTTCAGTCGCTTGTGGCGGTTGTGCTCGTCAACGAAAACATAGTCTGGTCGCATGTTAGAACAACGCTTTGTGATAAGTGGGCGATGACGCACTCTTCTGTGTTTCCCTTTGAGGGTATTGCTGTGGCGCAAAGGCAAAGGAGCTCATTTGTGAGCTTTGAGGCAGGATGCGCCGCGCCGAAGATTCGTTGGACATGGCGCAACGAGGGGCCGGTATTCGTCGCCCGAGTTGACAAACGAGGCGATATGGCGAAATGCGTTAGGTGCGCGGTTGTTGCTCAGGGCCCGGAACTGATGGGTGCCGTACGATGCGACAGGCGTGGCAACAGGCGTGGCAACAGAGCGCGCAGTCCGTCCAAGAAAGAGGAAGGAATTCCTTCAAGATTGGGTGCGCGTCTCAAGCTGCGAAGAGATGGCAAATGTGAGTTGCGCAGTTGTCGGTCCTCCGGCTGTCAACTTTCTTTGAACCAAGCAACAGGGAAGGGCAGGTGTGGTGGTAGGTAAGTAAGTAAGTCGTAGTGGTAGCGGGGATCTGTAGTGCTGTCCAGAGGGGCGCGTGGGACAGAATGTCGAGCGTTATTATGAGTGGATGAGAATCGCCAGGTACGGGGTGGAAGGGGGTCCCTAGACGAAGGACCGGGGTAGTGGAGGGGCAAGATCGAGCAATGACGAGCTGCTCATATCGTGGCAGTAGATACTTGTAGCACACAGTAGGGCGGAAGGCCTTTGGGTACTTCTCCCATGGGGGCCAGGGGGAGCGAGAGAGAGAGAGGGGGGGGCAGGGCAGGCCGGCCGGCCAGGCTGGGCCACACAATGGGCCAGGAGGAGACAGGCCAAGGGTGACAGGCCCCAAGGTTGGTTTGATGGGAGCTCGATGGGTGACGAGGAGGGACGGGTGCGATCCAGCCGGGGTCTGTTGGTCCCACGGGTACGAAGCAGGAGGTTGCGTGCAATGCAACCAAACGTGGGCTGGTGGGAAAGAGCCAAGCAAACCCCTGTCGCGGACGATTGGGAGAATAATTAAAGGCTGGAGATAGCACTCATGGAAGGGTCGGAATGCGCGATGGCACTGGCACTGGCACTGGCACTTGGGAGGCCGTGGATTTGGCCTGGCGCCTTTCGTGGATAACCGTAATGAGCAGGTAATGAGGACGGCGGGTTCGCTTGGTTGACCGTCTGATGAGAGTATGTGCGCGCCCGGCTGTAGGCGTAGGCGTGGGCAGAGAGAGACGCAAGTAGGCAATATCGACTCGGTGTGTGCGTGCGAGTGTGATGAGACGTGTGGACAGGACGTGCCCGAGTGCGCGTGTGGTGCTGTGGGTGCGGATATGTATGCGTGTGCTTCAGCCACGA